CTGAACATGCCGGTGGCAATGTACAACCAACACAGCTGCAGGAAAGTCAATCACAAGGCCATGCTACATCGCCACAAACACAGCACCAGCAAGGTCAATCACAAGGTCAACCCCAGGCTCAGGCGTCATCATTGCAGACTCGGTCTGGCACCCCCTCCACGTCCGCAACACCTACTGCTATTGATGCCCGTACTACTGCAGCAAGCGGGCAACCACGCCCCCTTCTATTGTGGACCCGTTGCATTCTTTTTCTCTGCTGTGCATCTCCCCCATATGCAGATGGGCGCTAACACTACAGCATCTGGACACCTATCTCATCTTTGAATCCGGTTCTTTTAATTATTACAATCTCTGTTCACGCCGAGAATCTGCATATTTGATTTCATAACTTCCTTGATCTTGGGTTGGTTTCAATGCTATGTCGTGAAACCTCATTTTATTGCACACTTCGTGCACTAGTAATCCTATCCTGGTGTGTCTGGATAGTTTCATATCATGTAGGATTCACCTTTCTTCGTTGGCTGCTTTTCTTTGCAGTTTCGGTTGGACGCTAAGCCGACATGGAGATCACCTGTCCATAGTCTCAACCATTCTCAAGTACACGTTCATTCACGGCTTTCTCCCTGCTCTCACCAACCTTGCAGACATGCGAGTAACAATCACTTTCACTCAGCCTTTTTGTCGAAGCCTTAATTAAGCTTACTTACCTTTAAATTTGACTTGAGCGTTCCAACCTTAGAATATTTCTGACGCTAAGCGCTGAGGTCCAAGAAATATTAAGCTTCATTGCTAGAGTTTGGAGGATCAAGAGTGATGTGAGCACTATCGTGTATACACCGTCAGCCGAGACTCGCCGTCTAGGACAACTGCTGCGAAGCTGATGTATGACCGGGGTAGAACACCACATTGACTGAACAAATTCACCATGTGTCATTGTTCCGGGCTTGCCATACCGACTTATTCAACTGCGAAAATACGTGGATGTAGCCTTGCATTGGATAGGTTGTTGGTCTCGGGACATAGCCATTCGAGTCTTCCGTAGTGGAATAAATATAGCCATTAATGAGTTTTGCAGAGACTAACCAGAGATGGGGTAGTGTGTAGTGAAGTGGTCAACCGTCAACAAATTGATTCAACTCACCAGCGTCAGAGCATGCCCGACCACCTGGATTGAAGTGCCTAAGAAGGCGGAGAATTAAGATATGAGTGTTACTTGAGCGTATCAATATAAAGAGTCACAAGAACGACAACACTACTGACTCATTATAGTGAGAGGCTCTTCTAAATCAACTCTCTTGGTACACCTGTACCTGTAGTGATGAAGCTTAAAAGTATCCAATTAGACATAAGGCCTGATGCAAAAAAGCCTCTGAACCACTGACTGTGAAGCATGAAGCCAGAGACACTGCCTGCCCTACTAATTCCTCTGACCGTGAAGCATCAAGCTAGAGAGGGGGCTCCCCCTCCTGTTCTCGGTGAAGCATCAAGCTAGAGAGGAGGCTCCCCCCTGCTATTCTCGCATGCCCGATCATTGTCAGATCGATCTGGGCCCGATTCCCTCATTCCCTCATCGGCGCTGGTGCTTCTCTCCATACCCCGATCAATTGTTGGCACTACCCCGATCAATAGGAACGAGAACTAACATCTGATTAATAGGAACGAACATCAAGATTACCATATACAGTCAACATGCGCTATGGAAACAAAAGCTCCCCTACGACACTGACAGGGATATTGCGGGGTGACGTGGACTGGAGAAGCGCCGGCACGACACTCCACATCTTCTGAAATCGGTCCTGCATAGCTCTACGAAGAGTGGCCTGGCGTTTTGCATAACCCTCGATGCCCTCCTGTTCAGGTGCAGCCAGAATGGTCCTCTGATTTGCCTGCTCCTCCCACCACCCTGCATGCCACGAAAGAAAACTAGCTACATGCCACATCTCCTCTTGCAGGAGTTTGACTTCTTTGGCCCAACGATGGGCGCGCGCCCTCGATTTGCACCATTCGATACGCAAAGCTGCCAGGTATGTCAGGACAATTCTGTACAATTAATGACGCAAATGCTTACCTTCTGATAAAACAGCCTCGCCATCTTCTTGTATCGCAGCCACCCCCCGAGCCTTCCAGATCCACGAAAGGGTGCGGTTGCCTTTGGATTGACCAAAGTCTCCCTCAGACATCCCACGAATATTGGCCGCCAGCAGCTCAGGCAATTCTACCTCCCAGTTTGGTTTGTCCATGACCGCCGACAGCATCTTCACTGCTGCCCAGGCCCTGCGATATCGAGCTGCAGCTGTCCCAATGGTCTGCTCCACTTTGCGAGCATGGAGGATGCCCTGGTGTTGGCGCGTTGCCCACGAATGTGGGCGTCCTTAAACCTGTAAAGGTGTGTGCATAGATGAAGTTGCCGGCGAGCATCATCAAGAGCATCGTGTGCTTGTGCACGCCGCAGCTCCCATTCGTATTCACAAAGCCGCTCATCATATGACATCTCAGCTGCCTCCTTCAGCTTCGACGGTTGGAAAAGTTTGATATCATAGGCCTTCTCCTCGCGAGCTGATTGTGCATCTGCCAATGCACGCAGGCGGCCAACGGCAGGCATGTAGAGTAGTTGGACCTTGCACCACTGTTTGATCTTGCGCAGCAGTGCGTTCGAACGCTCTTGCAGCTTCGTCAGCTGCAAGTCTGTCGGATGGCCGCTCAGAGCATTATAATCTTGCTGCAGGCGAAATCTGTAGTAGATCATGTTATTAGAATTACCAATAAAAATACTTTGAAATCTTACTGTTGTTCTTTGAGATCAATTCCCAATGAAATGAGTACACTGGGTGATATCTCCGTGTGTAATGAGTTGTTGAGACCTCTTTCGAGATCTTCAGCTTCCTGTTGGGAGAGTCTAAGGTGCACGGCAGCCTGCATCAAGGCTACATACAATCAGTACACGTAATAGCCTAGCGTGAGTGATACTTACTGATGGTCGTTGTCTCGAAGGGGTTTTTGTTGGAGGTGTCGGCCTCCCAGTCCTCAATAGATTCTTTCCACTGTCCTACCTCACCCGGTCGTTCTTCCATAAGCGTAAGGTGAAAGTCATCAAAGTCTTGTCGGTGTCGGTCACGTTTGGGAATCGCAGTCTTCATTTTGCTCAGTAGACTGATACCTAAGGATTTTCTTCGTCAATTACATTAAGTGTGCTAAAGTAAACAACACATACCGAAGTTCGTAACCTTCTTCCAATTGTAGTCGCCAAAATGATCGTCCAGTGTATCTTGACGAGCCCCAGGGCCCATCTCTTGTGTGCTTGTGGCCACC